GCTGAAACATCTAACACCCCTTTGTGTAGGTATAACGAACTTTGGACGAGGGTCGTTCAATCATCCATTTTTCTTGCATCTTTCGCCGTTTATCTTTCTTCGGAAAGACTGGTCACGTCAGATGAGATTGAGTCAATGTTAGGCGGTGAGGTCACTTAGGGTATCAAAAAAGTGAAATCGTTTTATTTTGCATTTCATTTAACAAGATTTTCTGCCCGAAAGTCAGGGTCAATTTGAAAAATGACCTACAAGACTTTCACATCTCTCTTGACGAATTTCTTCATGGATATATCATGTTGACCAATGAACTGGTTAGCGGACATACAACTGAAATTTTCTTGACGATTGAGTTAGACATTTATTTGATGTTCGTTATTCGTACTTTAGTCACGGCTTGCAATCAACTCTGTAACGCTTGGAGATTATGATAGACCTCTGCGAATTTCGAAATTTGTTAAAGAACTATATATGGGATTTCAGTTATTGAATTTGAAGAATGATTCTTTGAGGAAAAAATTTGATGGAATCAAGGCAAGCTCAAAATTGAAATTTGCATTCGACTATTTTTTTTATTGCTATTTTTTGAAGTTATTCTCCCTTGCCATTTTGTATAAAGTACAATATCAAGAAGATTGAAGAAGGTGTGAGATATTTTAATACGTTAATCAATTTTCGTCCTATTCTTGGTGCTGATTGTAGAATATATTTAGTTGTCTATGACGTCTCCCTACGAGGATTGTCAGGAAATAATAATAATATGGAAGGTACAAGTGTTAAAACAACATCAAGCTGAATAAATAAATGATTTGATGTGATGAGGGTGTAGTGGGTCTATGAAGATATGACCGAATATTTTTTTGAAAGTGTCTATTCCAACGAAACCCAATGTCACAAGATCTTCAAGTTCTTATTTGCATCAAATAAATTAAGAGCATTCATTGTTCAGTTTTTTTTGCATAGTGATTCGATTCCTGATATATTCATTGTTTTATCCATTTCCTCATATAAACTATTCCAAAGTTTGTATGGTTCGACGTATATTCCAGGATTAGGATTCTTAAAAGGTTTTTGCTCTGTATAATGCACCACATGCATATCGGGCAACAGCATTTTCCATAGATGTGGATTTAAATCCATTATCGAAAGATTGATGTTATATGTTTCAGG